CTTGTTTTCGTTAATTCATCTACAACAAATAAACCTCCACCTATAGTACGAAAAACATAAACACTTTAAAGTAAATACTTACCTAACAATTTGGTGCAAAATACGGAAAATATGAAATAACCGTCAAGTGCACTTGCAACGATCTATGGCCGCTTAGTGTGGGTGACCTCGATTTGAAATTGGCCGCTTAGTGCAAATCGAGCACAGCTGGTGAGCCACCGTTATACCGACGTCGGGCCGACAGCGTGAAGCAGTCGTCGGCCCGACGTCGGGTCACCAGTAGTGGCCCGACGCACAGCTGATGAGCCACCGTTATACCGACGTCGGGCCGACGGCGTGAAGCAGTCGTCGGCCCGACGTCGGGTCACTAATAGTGGCCCGACGTCGGCCCGACAACGACTGCCGACCGCGACCGTGCTGACCAATGCCGACGTCGGCCCGACCGCTCATTGCTATCTGGGCATATATTGTGTTAAACCAATAACTGTTACGCAATATAGTCTTATCATTTACATTAAACCCCCCCCCCCCCCATATCCACATCTCAACTCACAGGACACTGTTGTAGAGGGAAAAGCCCACTGCTTATCTCATTCTTCAGTGGATAAATTCTGCTGGTCAGGGTACCGTTCTCTAACACCATCAGGTACATCCTATCTAGAGCATCAAACCTTACCACTACATCTGAGCTGGGCAGTTCTCCTGACTCCAGCTGGAAAATATTATCATAATCATCAACATTATGGAAACAACTGTTTTCATTATGATCATCATCATCATCATCATTAATTACTATTATCATTATTATTAAAAGATAACATGGAACAAGGAAAGACAAACGTTTGTTCTTTATTTGACGATAGTTCAGGCAAATAGACATCTCAAAGGACAATAAAGTACGAATCTCGATTCCTAGTGTCTTAGTAATATCTCATCAACTAGGTCCCTGGACTCACATCTAAATTGTATTTCATCAAGTCACTGAAATATATGCTACTTCAAAACATTCTCCTTGCAATAACATTTGTTGTTCACCTTTTTATTTTTTCTGATATAACTTCTTTGAAACGAGTTAAATTTTCCAAATCAATATCATTTATTAAATAATCAATGTTAGCTCACCTTCAGAACTTGATTCATCTTCATCTTACTGTGAAACAAATGATTTCGTGAGGTGTGGATGATGATCTCTCTCAGGGGACCTGTGGGAGCAGGATGGAAATATACACATCACAATTTGTTGAAAAAAGAATATATAAACAAATACTCACATGACACACTAAAAATTGTTTACTTTTTAATTCCAATAACTTTTATTCCAAAGTAATCTATACTTAAGATCGCTTCTAAATAATGATAATTAAATTGGATTTTCAGGATGAATGGCAATCAGATAAACCGAATAAAAACATGGTACAAGATATTAGTTAAAAAGTTTTTTTTACCTTTGGTGGGTTCCAGTTTTAATTCATATCTTAATACACTTTCTTATTAACCATATTATTTTCACATCTTAAACTTAAAGACAGTCTCAGTGGGTTAGATTAATGTATAGAAGCAGGTTCTATGTAAAGCTTTGACCAGATTTGTGTTTTGTGAGATTGTTTATTATTATATTAATAAGTCTGGGTCACAAAAGTCCTGTTAAGACAACTAGAATAAAGAATTAGAAAACGAAAACTATTTATCATGATTTCGGAGCACAGCCAGAAGTACTTCCGGCTCAAGGTCACGACCTCGATTTTCCCACGCTTACGACCAATCACAGCAGGCTTCAGTCAGAATGAGATAGACGTCACGACTACACAGCGAAACTTGTCAGACATGTAAGTGCCGCCTGTCCATCTTTTCGGTACATGTACCGATCAAAAATAGACAACGTAAAGCCCAAAACGCTCTTATACACGTTACCAACTTTGTATGAGCACAAATATTGTCATTTATTGTGAACAAGATAATATGATAATCAGACACACTTGAGACCTGTGAAGCGCATACTCACGTGTCGAGGAGTAGTTTCGCCATTGCCTCGTATGTGAGTCCTAACTCAGCTTTAAGTGTCCTCCACCGCCCCACCTCCCTCCCAACATACACAGTCTGAGTGCTTCTTCGTCTGTCTCTAATTTTCTTTCGTATCTTTCGAACTGGAGTGGCTATTTTCTTTCGTCCCCTTTTGTCGCTCTCCTCTTCAGACTTGACGCGCGTCTGAGCCATGTTTGCTGTTTTGGCGCCAAATAGTAACATCCGGGTCTCAGCCGTAGTACTTCATTCATAGTAAACCGCGAGACTTAGCGAGAAATTGCGCGTTCTGAAGCCGTACTGTGAGGTGGTAGCTGAGTATTTAAGACGAGTCGTCTTTTATTATTTAATGGAACTTAAAAACGGTATTAGGTAGGTTCATTTTCTCAACGGTTTTGGATAGGATATACCTTGGTCATTATGGGGAAATTGGTGAGATTTCCAGGAAAATTCATTTTCGTGCTATTTTAAGGGTTTAACGCGCTGAGACTGTCTTTAAGGTTTTTATTAATGTCATTACTATTTTTCACTTTTAAGAGCTCCATCAGTTTTCAAATTTCTGATATATATTTCTGAACAAATTTGAAATCAAGAAATAAAAGAATGAAGTTGGCTGCATACTAATGGTCACTTCCTGTATGAACTCTCCCTCCTCCACCAGATCACTTGTGTTACAGTTCAGCAAGGTCATCACACCATTCTCTGTGCCTGAAATAATACACATATCTCAACTAACACAATGTGCTTATATCACACCTAACACACATCATACCTAACACATTGTGCTTATATCACATCTAACACATTGTACACATATTACACCTAACACAATGTGTTTATATCACACCTAACACATTGTACACATATCTCAACTAACACATTGTACACATATCACACCTAACACATTGTACACATATCACACCTAACACATTGTACACATATCACACCTAACACATTGTACACATATCACACCTAACACATTGTACACATATCTCAACTAACACAATGCACACATATCACACCTAACACAATGCATGTCTATCTAAAGCATAGTGATCTATCTTCTCAAACAGATTTCACACCAGACACAATGTCTCAACCACACTGCAAACTGTGTCAAAAAGATATAAATGTCTGGTCTTATCATTTCAAAGAAAATGAAATTATGCAAGAAAGTTTTATAAATATTTTTACCTTCTTCATAGCTGTAATAGAGTCTGTGTAAATCACGGAGCAGGAAAGCCGTCTTCCCAGCATCCTGGAACATGAAACTCAGCGGGCCAGACTCTGAAAGTGAGAGCAAATTTAAAATATCAGGAGAAATTACTTTGTAATATAAACAGGTTTAAAAGACAGGACCTGAAAATTATTTCATTTGTTCTAAATGAACCAACCATTAAATAAACAGTTTTTTTGGTCAACTTAAAATGAACATTATACTCAAAATGTATATTTACCAAGAATATTCAATGGAAATGTCCAAAATCAGCCTTGAAAAATGTCCTCTTTCAAGTCAGTTATTTTGAGATGTAAAGTTTGTTTTTATTGGTACTTGAAAATTGTAGAAGATTTCATCATCTTGTAGACATAAATAAGACATCATTTTAATCAGAGATCAGCATGAATTAAATCACCACCAACTTAAAAAAAAAAAGAATAACAAGTCACCTATGGATTCCGAGTACAAATACATAACCCACATGACAGACCTACCTGTAATGTTAAAATCCATCCACATAGGTGTAATCTCCCAAACATCTTCATATATGTTATACAGCAATACTACAACCTGGAAAAAAAAAACTGATCAGTCTGCGTATACTATTTCTTAACATTATTGGTTCAGTGTTTCATCCTGCCTACCATCTGAAAATACCCAAAACAACTGTAAACCATCAGAGAACTAATGTCTAATCCAATACTCAGATACTAAGGAACAAGGTAAAAAACATTAAAGGGTAGTTTGTTTGAACAATTAAGCAACTTTATGAAGAACCCATTACCTTTGACTGTCCATTAGCACTGATGGCTAGCAATATTCCTACTGACCCTGGGAATGTATTAAAAGCCACATCCTGAACCTTGAAATGAAACAAAAAATGATGAACTTAGATACAGCAACTTGTATCTGAAAATACACAAGGCTGAGCAATTATACTACCCAAAATTCTGCCACTGTCAGCACTACTTTTTGGGGTTCTTTAAACATTGACAAAGAGACAAACTTTCAAACAGTGTCCAGCAATGGTTAAGGAATACACACCCAGATTCTTTCTAGTTTNAGTACACAGATAATACAACTATAAGATCATATAATGAACACTGTAGTCATATGTTCCTATGTCTTACCTGTGGATCCTGTAATAATAGGTTCTCTAGTTGTAGCAGTGTCTCAGACCACTCTAACTGCTTCTGTACTAGCAGTACACAGATAATACAACTATAAGATCATATAATGAACACTGTAGTCATATGTTCCTATGTCTTACCTGTGGATCCTGTAATAATAGGTTCTCTAGTTGTAGCAGTGTCTCAGACCACTCTAACTGCTTCTGTACTAGCAGTACACAGATAATACAACTATAAGATCATATAATGAACACTGTAGTCATATGTTCCTATGTCTTACCTGTGGATCCTGTAATAATAGGTTCTCTAGTTGTAGCAGTGTCTCAGACCACTCTAACTGCTTCTGTACTAGCAGTACACAGATAATACAACTATAAGATCATATAATGAACACTGTAGTCATATGTTCCTATGTCTTACCTGTGGATCCTGTAATAATAGGTTCTCTAGTTGAAGTAGTGTCTGTGGCCACTCTAACTCCTCCACTGTACTAGCAGTACATAGATACACCTTGGTATTACTGAAGGCTACAAAGTGGCTGTTCTCCCTCTGGAAAAAATAAAATATAGAAAAGTCTCTACATAAGAATAAGAATAATAAAACAATAATTATAAATATTCTTGTATTAGTATCTAACGACGTGACACCAGTGTTAACACCCCCTCACTGCAGGTGTCTCTTCAACCCCCCACCCTCACCCTCCATCCCTGTCTACCTGTGTGATACTTACCAGTGCTAACACCCCTTCACTGCAGGTGTCTCTGCCCCTGATACCTAAGATGTCACCTGGAAGACCTGTCATTACAAAACAATATATCGTTTAATTACTAAAATGCACTTATGCATTTGCCTTATAAATGGATATTTTCTCTTTTAATTTTTGGTAACAGCTTTATTTATTTATTGGTGCATTGGCTTAATTAAAAAATCTGGTTTAGAACAAAAAGATGCTAGACAATGATTTAAAAGTTGGTGGTAATAGTATTTTGTCTACAAATCATTGCACATTCCAAAATATTTTCAAGATTTCTCGTTTTTGTCAATAAAAACCTTGAGATTTAAGTTCTTCAATTCATTTTGAACAATTTCAAAATAATTTGAGGGGCAAAGGTTAGAAGTCTTGTTTCTATATTTATATTCTATACCTAATTATTGTCACACAGAGAATGACATTATAAACACGATTAACTTTTGCTCTCAAACTTATACAATTAAATCACGGGTTATTACAGTCAAATCCTCCCCCCCGTCCAAAAAATTGACACAAGCATTAGTCACAACCAGCTGATTGTCGATATCCATATCTCCCACAATTCAAGTTTTTACAGAATTCATCAATTCAAAACCTACCTTCAATTTCCAGGAGTGATTCGTTTGTTTTCCCCCTGAGATAAACACTTCCATTTATCAGCAGCACAATATGATCATCTATAAAGGTCACCCAATCAATGGTCCGGCCGCCCTGAGAGAAATCAAATGATATCAATATCCTTTATAGTAATAACCCTTGGTCTCCTGGGCAAGGAATCATTAAGATTGGAATAAGAATTGATACCAGGCTGTCATATGAAAGAAATTATTCAAATGACCATTTTCCAAGAGCTGGGAAGAAAAGCATGCTATGACATTTAGTGACCTCTGCCAGACCTCCCCGTTTATAAAGAAATAACTATTACAAGAATTCTGCTCGTAAAATGGAAAACATCTTGCATCACAAGAAATATAAAAGTGCATGTGAACCAATAAAAGGTACTTTGTCTACAAATTCATAACTTGAGGACACTCCTGACTACAAAATTGCATTGTACTACTTGAACCAATGCTACTATTTTATTGCCTTTAAAATTAAAATTCAATATATATTTAAATTCATTCACCAAGATCACCCACATTAAAACATGTTTTCAAACATGAAATTAACACATTGTGAAACATCACAGAACAAAACGTAATATGTTCCAAATCATTTCAGTTGTTCCAGGTGTCAAAAAGACAAAATTGTCCAATTATCCATTTCTTACTTGATCATCAGCTTTTTTTACCTGCTGGTTGCAGGGGTATGTAGGAAAACAAGATTAACTTTAATGGAATGAAACTCAGAATACCCCTGTCCACCAGTGTGATGGAATCAAGTAATGTGCAGTAATTTTAACATATGGATTGTGTTAGGAGAGCCAGGGGAACATCCCAACACAATGGAGTACCTGAAATCCTGCAGGCACACCCAAGTGCTGGGTACTGGCAAAGTTATCCTGGGACAATAACAGCTCATCCCTGGAATACAATAGGCTTTTATTAAATTCATACAGATGTAACTGTAATAAAACTGTAAATAGAGTTCAATACACAAACAACAAACATGCACACTATGTAATAAAATATCCATATTATGGTTTCAGAATGATCAGGACTTAAAATGCACTTTTTGTGCTTCAAATTATTTGCTGTGTATGAAAAAATTTAAAAATAAAAACAATAATGCTAACCTTCATTTTACATGGATTACAATAAAAAACCTCTCCAAAGTATTTTCCTCAATATAAAACATTTAATAAAGAAGCAACAGCACCAAACAATAACATAAAATGAATACAAAGTAAATAACCAAATATACAGTACAAATGGAATTAGCATTAAGCAGAACAACACACAAGGACACTCCTGCCCAAGAGAACAACCAGCTAGACTACCTGGATAAAACTACAGCCACATTTTGCATGCAAGGATCCTGGGGGAGAAAGGGAGAGAAATGTCGGCATAATGAGATCAAAATGGCGAAATAGATTGACAGATTTAATAACAAATAAGGACGTGTGCAAAAATGAAGACGTGGACCTCTTCTCTCACCAAGTTCTTTTATCTTCATGGTCATGTTTACTTGGTCAGAGGTTGGCTGTATTCAAATTTTTACCCAATATAAATTTGTAATGTGATATAATATTGTGTTATCTACTTGCCATATATATGAAAGAACTTTTAGAGAGTGGTAGGCAGCGAGAAAGGCCCTACAGAGTTAGGCATATTTGGTATATATGTAAAAGAAATTTCACATTTCTTTCATAAGCTCTTGCTGTTTTAAAGCAACAGATCCCTACTATAAACCATTTTCATTTTTCTTTTGTAATTTTTGCTTCAAGGAAACAAATACCAGTGACCTTCCTCTGCTTTGTTACCTTTATCATCCTAGGCTTGATCTTATTGGCAGTGAAAATACTGTCCTAAAAAGAAATTGAGGTTTGCTTTCAAGGTTTTATAACAAAATTTTAATTTTGTAACTATTAGTCCATTACAATCACATATGATGCACTGTTCTGATACAAAAATTTAGGTTCTTTACCTTTAAATGAAGAAAAACAAATTATATACCTCTGTTCTTGATTCTCTCATCATCTGGTATTTCTCTTCTGGTTGCAAAATAAATGTGTCCCTACAAAATACAAACAATATACAAATAAAATGTCTGACTATGGAAAGATCTCCCCACAAAATTTCTCATCTTTGCATTAAAAAAATTAAATGAAATAATTGTTCATATATTCTACATATTAATGATCTACATACAAAGAAAATCAATTTCATTCAAAGTTTTGGATTTATCTTTGCGAAAAGAAAATTTAAAAGTAATTATAAGTTAATTAAAAGTAAATAAAATGGAATAAAATCAAGTGATGTTTACATACTCTATGAAGCACTCATAAACAGCGACTGGTCGTTTGCCAATTATCTTAAAGCTTGTTTGTACATCTTCAGGGTGGGAAGAAATTGAAAATATCCAAATCCTGTATGCAAAAAAGAAACGAAAACAATGACTTGAATGAGAGTAGCAAACCTCTTCACTGTCATTGAAGATGCTTAATATAATTCCATTTCAGTTTAAATCATCTTAATGATAATCTTTTATTCATACTTCAGTAAAAAAAAATCCCATTTTTTTTAAACTTGTCAGACAACATATCTTACAGTATTAAGTTGATTCATTAAAAAGGTTTTCTTCATATTTCAAACAAAAACCAAGTTTTAGTAATTTCCAGAGGTAGGGAAAAATACACTCCTCACCCCAAGTTCTGGTCAAATTCCCGCAAGGTGACCTCTCTGTGAGGCATATGTTTGGACTGCAGGGCAAACTGAACATGAGGCTGCTGGCCCAGGTAATGGAATTGTTTGCTTAGGACTTGGGAATACTGGAAATTGTGCAGGAATTTATTTAGAAAAGAGATGAGAATTTGAAAAAAAACTTTAAAATAATGACTGTTAACTTATTGATGTACTTCTTACATGCCTAAAATTGCATACATTTGCACCAACATTATGAAATATAGACATTAAAATGTTTCCTTAGTTTAACAATTAACTTTTGTTTAAAAAATCATACTTAGAATAGCTACGTTTATTAACCATACATTACTGATATGATAAAAATTATAATGCCATGACAATAATTCAACTTAATGAGCATGACCCAATTTTTGTGGTAAAAATCAAAAATCTTGATCACATGCTAGATCGACATGGCCCAATGGGTGAAAAATTGCACTTCACAGTCCCACACCCCTAGTAAAATAATCTATGTGCACATCAGCTTATTGATTGATCCCGGATCGTTTTCATAACTTATTGATTTAGACTGCAACCCTTTTAAGTGTTTAGCCATATTGATTTTCCCTTGCTCAGCACAAACTATTGGCTGCTCTTATCTCAAGTTCATCGATAAGTCTACAAATGTTCCCTGCATAGCAACGTTAACACAGGTACAGGGCAGCAGGCACAGAACAGGTGGGTTACGCTTTTTACCTCGTTGACAACTTTATCATTTAATGACAAATGCCATGGTAACAAGCAGGCTACACCAGGCATACTGTACTGAGAACATGCTGAAATAAATCAGTTCAGGGATTTAAAATATAACTGGAGTGTATAAATGGGATTTACATTAGTGTACCAGATGTGAGTCAGTATAGCCTCTATGAAAGTTAACTTCTGTGTTGATTTCTGTTAAGAGCTGATTTGATAGGCCTTAGTTACAAGGCTTAGGGGCAGAAATTATCAAAGTTAAATTTCATAAACTGAATAGATTGGCTGGGATGGGACTGTGTGGGGTATTGATTGATAGATAGCTTGTACACAGGGCGTTCAACTAAATCCAAGCTGTCATTTGTTCTACATATATACATACTGGTCCGCCATCTATACATGAAAACCCACCAGAGACATGCTATCTGGGCAGTTACAATAGAGTGTAATAGCAAGGCCAAGTGAAGGTTTTGCCTCTCAGTAACACTAAAGTCTGAAGATAGAAACTTAAAATTTTTTAGGTGCAATAAATTAAGTTTTAATGTGAACCAATGTTGAAATATTGACAACAGCTATTGTGACCCCCCCCCCCAAAAAATCACCAGGCTGTCAACTTCCAAATAATACCATAATTATTTAAAATTTTCAAAATTTATTTAAATATCTAATTTTTTCAAACTTAATCTTTTATGTTATAAAATAACATAATTTCTGTCACAAAGCCAAATCACTTTTAAAAACTTCTGAATCATTTAATTTACAGTATTACTAACAAAACAAAGTTTGAGGAAATTTATCAATATTCATCTTGTTTAAATTTATTGACCAATGACAGTAAACAATTCTATTTTCAGCCCACAATGGACAGCCCAGACAATAGCTGTATTCAGGAGGGGTGTTCAGTGTGCCAGGTGTGTACTACACAGTACCTCTCAGACACTGACCAGCACCTTCAGTTAACACACCTGCCATTTGACCATGAGCTCTGTCCAGACTGTTCTCTACTGTTACTGTTCCGTAACAGAGAAGATCCTGATTATACTTCACATATTCAAGAGCTTAAAGGAAAGACCAACTTGGTGGAGTTAATTGAAACAATTCACAATTCAGATCATAGAAATGTTGGCTCTCAGTCAGTCCATTGCTCAGAGCATCCAGGGCAGGACGTTACGGGGTTTTGTAAAACTTGTCAAAAAACTGTCTGCGATATCTGTTCCCATGCAGTTACCAGGGCAACAACTGTCAACAATGTCAACACAACCAATGAAATTTCTCAACACAATGGTAGCACAACAAGTGTCGACTCGGACAACCTACGTCATCAAGAATTAGAAAGCAACAATGGGACAGACCTAGATGACGATCATCAAAGTCAGCATACAACTGACGCTGATGATGAAAATGAAACTAGCAGCGAAAAATCTTTTAACACCACGAAATCTGCACCAAGTGGCACAAAACTCAACCACTTTCCAGCCACTGAAGAATCAGGTACGATGGTCAACCACAGCGACCATGACATCTGCGACATATACCAAGCTGGAGAAATTATGGCTGACAAACTACGCAAAGATATCGTCTGTGTAAAACAGGCGGTGAGTGATAAGCAGATGCATGTGGAAGATGTGCTGGCAGAGAAAGAAATGTTGGCAAGTGTGAAGAAGACAGCCCTGCAGAAAGCTGACGAAATATTTGCTAAAATGATAGAGGTAATTAATACTTATTTTCAACTGTTTTACTATATAATATCTATTTAATTAAATATGTTCTTCAAGTTAAAAAGGAAATACATTTTCCCCACTGTTATGCTTTTGATCAGATAAGGTGTGAAAAAATGTATAACTACACTTATGCAATAGTGATCAATTTTACTTACAGCCTATGAAGTTACAGTAATATTATTATTTACAGGTCATAAAGAAAAAACACCAGGAAGTCACCACCACCATTCAGGAGAAATTTCAAGAGAAATCCAAACATCTTGACCAGCACATAGATTCCTGTGAGAGCCAAATCCTCTGTATGGACAGCACAGTACAAGTATACAACGCTGCGCTACGAGACTTGGACGTCCCAAACCTCGTCACCATGGCAACAACACACTGCAAAATGTTGGAAAACAAGGTCCAGGAGTACAACAACACCCACACAGACTCTGGGAAAAATTACATCGAGTTTGACAGCGGTCCTTGCGTAGAGTATGTGTCGTCTGCCCAGGAATACATCCAAGTCCGCCATGACGAAAAGCAGCTCCCGGCAGTGGTCCAGGTTGAGACGGTTCCCGCCACAGCAGGTTTCACGTCCACAGCGGACATAACACTCTCCAGCAGCAGCAAGGTGGCGCTGTCTGGGTACCCAGTGGAAGTTGAGATAAGAGACAAATACAATGATGTCATCAAGTGTGCTGTTCAAGACAATGAAGACGGCACATACACTGCTCACTTCAACCCCCAGGTTTCAGGCATGCACTACGGGTCCGTCAACCCGATTGACAACAAGACTACAGTACGAGGAAGTCAGTTTGAGTTTGACGTACAGAGCAATGATCCTGTCCTTTGGTTTGGCGGAAAAGGAAAAGAACCTGGGCTGTTCAACTTTCCTCGTACCCTCACAGTAGACCTCACAGGGGATGTTTACGTAGTCGACGAGCTATGTCGGGTTCAGATCTTCAACGAACTTGGAACTTTCAAGAGTCACTTCAAACTGGACGGTGATCTGAAAGATTACAACGCCGTGGGGGTTGCTGTTTGCAGTTCTGACGACATGCTCATCTGTCCTCTGATGAAGAAAGACCAGCATCTGGGAGGGTGTGTGAACACGATCGCAAAACTAACAAAAACGGGAGAACAGGTGAGCATGGCCACCCAACCCTTCCAGTGTGGGATGCACCTGGCTATTAACAGCAAAGATCAGATCATAGTGGCTGACCTGTTTGGAAAGTGTCTCTACATCCTCTCGGACACCAGCGGGGAACAAATACAAACAGTCAGCGGAAGAGGATTAAAAAACTTCCGTGGCCCTAACTGTGTGTGTGTCATGGATGACGACAGTATTGTGGTCTCAGATACTTCAAACAACTGCATCCACGTGTTTGATGAGGTGGGGAACTACCTTTTCAACTTTGGTCAGAAGGGGCACAGAAAGGGGGAGTTCCGGGGGCCCCAGGGGGTGACAGCTGACCAGTGCGGCCATATTCTGGTGGCAGACCAGTATAACAACAGAGTCCAGGTATTTGACCGCAACGGTCAGTTCGTGTTGTGTATTGAAAGCACAGGCAGCCCTCTCCACTGGCCCAGGGGGATAGCAGTGACCAATGACGGGCATGTGTATGTGGCGGACTCTGACCATCACATTGTCAAAAAGTTCAAATACCTTGAGTAAGGCTGGGATATTATGTACACTGGTGACTAACTTACTTTACATCTGAGACCATTAAATTTCTTTGTTTATTGGTTTCTCTTTTGTCAATTTATTGGTATTGAATTTTGAGAACTTCAGTGGTGACAATGTATCCTGCTAGCTAAAACTTTTTTTTTTAACAAATGTCCATCTTCTGAAACAAACTTTTTTATCTATTTGTACTTAAAGCGTGGTATTAAGCTAGTCAGATTCAAATTTCGTGAAATGTAAATTTGCTTTGTTTATTTCTGGAAAATTAAGAATTGTTTATTTAAATAAGATGCAAGTTTTACCTTGTCTTGGGTCATAAGAAATGGGATAGGTTTTTGAGGTTTTTGACATGCAGTCGTCCACCAGAATAAATTTTCTTTAAATAATAAGGTAGTTTGTCATCTTTAATCCTTTTAATTCCATTTTTTTCTTTTTTTGTAAGGTTTATATTTATCATTCAACAACTAAAATGAAAACACCATATATTTCGAATCACATTCTTAACATCTGTGGAGGATCTATAAACAGTATCAACACTTACAGCTGAGGGGGTCTGGGCTGAGTATGGACAATATTTATACTTACAGCTGAGGGGATCTGGGCTGAGTATGGACAATATTTATACTTACTGCTGAGGGGGTCTGGGCTGAGTATGGACAATATTTATACTTACTGCTGAGGGGATCTGGGCTGTACCATTTCTTTCCCTGGCAGATACATGCTGATCATTCACAACCCATACTTTGTAGATATCCTGAAGTCAGACAGAAGAATGTGACATTTCATTCTATAAGTAAAGGAGTATGACAAAAATTAATGTCAAAAGTTTAAAGGTACTGTTTGTAAGATTTTAGCCATTTTGATGTTTTAATTGGTCTTTTTTTTTGTACATGTATAATGCATTTATGATCATGAGTGAAAGTCCTGTTTCATCATATTTTTAGGTTTTGAAAAAACTGTATTTTTTATTGATTTTCTAAAACAAAGTGAAAATGAAGATAACATCATAACTGCTTACTAGACAAGTCATGAAAAAAGCCTTTAAAAACGCATAAACAAGACATTAAATCTAATGATGACAATCACTTTAAATATTTAAATAACACCAGAAAAAAATTCCGAGCCAAAATCCCACAAACAGTCCCTAAAGCTACAAGCACATGTATATCTTCATTTCAATGCAAACATATTATGCATGATTTTCCTCACAAGTGACTTAAACCAGACTAATAAAAAGACATTAAAAATCAGGGACTAAAATTAGGGCCACAATAAAAATCCACTGCTCTACTTGCCATGGTATGGTCTGATGTTGATTCAGTGTTTTCATGATGAATTGAAACAGATAAAGATCTAAAAGAGAAATAAATTCAACAATAAACGTACCAGTGACTTTACAAATATTGTGAAAAGGGAAAAATACATTGCTATAGTATAAGACACAAGCTTGGCCCATGTAGTCAAAGGATACCAATCATGTAGGATACCAATCAGCTATTAATTTTTTTTCTACTTCAAGTTCTGTCAAAGTATTCATGTCTCCATATCTAACTTACTGAAACTAGTTAAAGATGTGTCTTCTTAATTTAAAAGGACTCACAAAAAATTCCAAACTATTATTTAATCAATAAGACAATAACCCTTACTGATTATCGCTTTTAACCAAGTACCATCGATAACAGGCGTGGTAGGCCTGAACATTTATATAGCGGCCTGCTTCCTCTGTGCTGCTGCCGTTCAACTGAAGATAAAAGAAAATGTTAATTTACAGCAGTTTACAAGGCTGAGAAGCATGTAGGAAATGAGAAAAATCCCCTCTTCTATTTACAATAATCTTCAGCTAGAAACATTCAATAATGACTTTTTCATTATCATAAAACAAAGCAAAATCTTTATTTCTTTCACTACAAATAAGTGCAGTAAGTTATAAAGTTAAGTTTTACTTCAAAAATGTTTGCCTGATCAGGTAGTGAAATAACAGTTTGGTTGGTTAACATTAAAAACCAGTTCCTGACCTTAAGATCTACTTTATACTGTCCTGGTTTACTGCAAGTCAGGGAGGCAACTTGAGAACTGAGAAAAAAGCACTAAAACTATCACAGAAGCTATAAGTAAAATTATTTCTATCTCAAGCATCTTTCCCACTCCTTATTTATAAATAACATTAACCTGAGCCAGGTCATACAAGAAATAAAAATTATTTAAATATGTCAAATATATAATTAAATGTTTTATAAAGAGATAATAAATAAATGTTCACATTTATTTAATTCAAATGATAAAAATCCCCTCTATTCACTGATTTAGCCATAATGAATTCATTTCAAAACTTCCCATATAGAGGAAATATGGACAGTGAAGAAGAAAACTAGATTTATTATTTTTATGCAAATAAATCATTTTTACCTCTTGTTAGAGACAACGCAATTTCCATTTATGTGCCATTCTATCTCTACTCCATCTTGTTCAACCAAATACTCTAGCTTGATCTAACAAATCACAAAGAAAAGATTCACTGAAAATCAATCACTACTGCTACAGATTTTTTTGTTTTCAATCATGCAAATTTTTATGTTACAGAACCAGCCTTGTAGTAGTACAATGTTTATATTATGTAGCATTGGCAGAAAATGATGGAGTACACTTTAAAGGTCTAGATTTTCACAGAAAGTATCAACAAGAGTGTGTTACTTACTGGATTTCTTGTGTTGAAAAGTTCTGATTGCCCAATTTCATTACCATATCTAAAATATCATAAACAGAAATCACCATAAATCATCAGTAAATTCTGGCAGTGTTAAATTTGAGAAATTCAATTCATGAAGTGTGGTTGAATGATATCATTTTCTGAACTAGCATTTTTAATCCCTGTTCTGGCCACATCTTTTACAACAAAACAGTATGAGTATCACATGTCCTTATTAAATACACTGGTATTCAGTGAGTTTCCGATAAATTCTAAGAAAAAAAAGATATTGATGCGCTAGGATGCCAGGTGGTTTCAGAATCTTCTCGCTCAATTTTGAATACTCGTAACTTTAAAAAATCCTAATCAAATTCTTACTAAATTGTTACCTCCAAGTTTCTCTGCTTTTCTTTGTGAATATCAAAAGGCAGAAAATGACCCAGCGAATAAATGTCATTTTTGCAGTCCAAAGTTTCTACTCCTTTCCCGCTCAGTCGTTCCGTCTCCGCCAGATGGAGCTCGTGGCTAGCAGGTTGGTTTCATTGCGGTAGTTGAGACATGAGCATTGTTATCATTGTGTTTTTTATCACAAAAAATGCTAATATAAACGAAGAAATGAACAAAATTGGCTAAATACACAGATCATTATGACTTGGCAACGCTGGCCTTTTAACCTTATTGCAGTCTCGTTTAGCGTGAATAATTTCCTGAAATAAGCGTTTTTCAGGATGCTAGTGTCATTTGTTTTGGAAAAATGAAAAGATTGTCTCTCTTAGAGAAGGTCACGTACGTAATCGAGCCTTTAGTAGTCAAATAAAATGTCGCTTATTTTCAATTTTTGAGGGTCGTTTCGTAACAACTTTGCTTCTGATCTTGAAATCCAAATTTCAAACAAAAGTCTAATCATTTTCATCTTCATTTCATTCTGATAAATGATTTGATTGGCCTCATTGGTCGCAAAATAAAATCCTGATGCACTGAAAATGTTATAAAACAACATAAAAAGGGGAAAAAATAAAGAAAAAGAGTTCCAGCATTCACCCCCTGTTAAATTTATCCTACATCGTGACAAAAATGTGGTGTTTCACATGAAATCAACATTTTGACTTTTCTTAAAAGTTCCAGCCATGTGAAAAGACAGAAACAAGGGATCACAAACGAAAAAATCCCTTGTGATACAGGATTCGGGGACGTCCGAGATTTTCACCCTCTTGCGTCAGCTAACCCTGCCCTGTATGTATCTTATAAAGGGCGGACACTCTGTATTTTAATACTGGTATATACGTATGCTGTGACAGTTTATGATCGTTACATGGCAATACGGAATTTTTTATTACAGAAGGTCATATAATAAAGGAAATAATGCAACGCCGTTAATATCCCGAGATCACTAATAGGAAATAATACACTGTGTGGTTTTAAGTAGACGTAACAACAGTTGAGCATTTACGTATTTGGGGAAATTATAACCAGTTACATGAAAAGTTTATTTTAAAAATCTTGCGCGTGTTCAATATCGCTGAAAACACGCTGTTTAATGTTGGAGTCTTTCTTCACAAACGATTTCTATGTATCTTCGCTGATGTTACGAAATAGTTTCCTTTGGGAGTAAACAACGCCAGGTGATAATTCAATGTTGAATTATACATTACGACATTCGTGCTAAAAACTTTTCAAATGACAAGTTATTCATTTACGTGAAAAAACAAAAAATAAAAAGTTATTGTCTCCCCTTTGAAGGTAGGCCTACTTTATTTTTCACATAGATTGCTTTATGCCTTAATACATGTGTGATAAAATATATTAAGTAATTTTAATATTCATGCTGTTTAATAGTACAGAGAAATAAATGAAAATAAAAAATTGGAATAAAAAAAACGCCATTTGGTAGGCCTATCTCTAATGCCTTATATAGTGTTTATAGCACTATCTGTTTATACTTGTGGAAGCAAAGAAAAAAATCGACGTTTGACTACATATTCAATTAACATTTACTGTTCACAATTCTCCCATGAAATGTTTAATTTTTTCAAGATCTTTGAAAGACCGTGGTCGTTGGAAAAAAAAAATTTCATGGAAGTGTTATGGCGACAAATCAGTGTGAACATTTTAAAAACTATCGAAGAAAAAACTTTCAGACAAGCCTAATCAGAAAGTAAAAGAAAAATTATGTAGAATATTTTCTTTCTTCAGAAAATTGTTAACAACATTTAAAACAAAGACAGCCTTTTTGTCTCCTTTTGAAGATTTTTCAAAATATTGCCATTTTTCTGAAACACTAGCACTTTTAAGTATTAAAATATCAGACTTTCCATGTTCATTTTGTATTTTTTAGATTATCATCGTCACATGAGAGAGAGAGAGAGAGAGAGAGAGAGAGAGAGAGAGAGAGAGAGTAAATGGAAGACGTGCTGTACATTCCGCTATTGGCATAATGGCATGCTTTTCAAATACGTGAATTGAGAAAAGGCAAATGTTCAAATTTAGTCATATTTCTGTAGGCATATTTACAATAGCTAGTCTACCTTCACTCTGAATGTACGATCAATTGTCGCGTCGTGATTAACTCATACCTTTGTCGCATTTTTGGCGAAGAAAAACGACACAGAAAACACAAACCAGACTTGAAAAATCCTTTTAAATTAATGAACATACAGNAATACGTGAATTGAGAAAAGGCAAATGTTCAAATTTAGTCATATTTCTGTAGGCATATTTACAATAGCTAGTCTACCTTCACTCTGAATGTACGATCAATTGTCGCGTCGTGATTAACTCATACCTTTGTCAAATTTTTGGCGAAGAAAAACGACACAGAAAACACAAACCAGACTTGAAAAATCCTTTAATGAACATACGGTCATTTTACGGTTGGATTTGTCAAAGAAAAGTCTAGCAGCATTTTACTTTCAAACTCGGCGCACGTTTTTGTTTTCTATTGAACTGTCGCATCTTAGAAGAAGATGCAAGGACGGTTAAAAATCGATTCACACTTGAAAAATCTTTAAATGGGTATTAAAATTGGGGCATTATTTCATCTTTAAGGTCGCAAATGACGTCTTTATGTTCTCATCTTGGTGCAACATGTTAATTCTACCGAGGTTTTTAAAGGTAAAAAATTGGTTAGGACCACAAAGATAGTTCCCTTTCCATACACAAACTGTGTTTATGAGAGGTATGAGCTTCTTTTCTCTTGGTGAAAGCCACTTTTCTTCCCACCGTCCCGTTTTCTATCTCAAGACAAAAGAGCGTGAGGAATGCCTTTGTCTTTGACATTTAACCGCCATTGTCATTTTTCAACTGCGCGTCAGAGTGGAAATCATCACGAAATAAAAGCGGCAACAAGATGCAAAATGGTTTGACTTTTTATTTCAAAGACCTGTTCTTAAAGATTGCAGCAAAAGTTCGGTCATTTATCTACGTGGGTCTGTCTACAATAGTCTATACCATCAGCTCCACACTTCGGTTTTATAATTATTTATTTTCAAACATCAGACTTAACCGTTATGATATGGTTTTATTTTCTTTCTATGCTGCTTTCCTATACAATGTTCAAAGAATGCTGGATGAGGTATATGATCTTTCTTACAAAACAGTACGATATTCCATAGAACCCCACAGGACACTACAATATAAGAATAATATTATAAACGTAAGGACAGACATAACATTGGAAATAATAAAGTTGGGAACTTATCATTAATTTTGGTTGATTTTTTAACCACCTGAAAACAACAAAAACTTCCATAGGAACAGTGTACAATAATAACAACAATAAAACGCCCTTGGAATCCTATGGAATATCTTTCCAATGCTTCAATGTTTCTGAAACCACCATAACATAGTTATCAATCAAAATGCTATTAACACAATAACATAGGAATAACCACTGCGCATAGATAAAGATTAAATATAATACATAGTGTACAAATTATAGTAATTTCTTAAAAGTTTGCCTTAATACCCCTCTCAAATTATTAAAGAAACGGCACACAGTTAACACCAAGGACTCCAGCGAGTATTACATACGCATATCTTACAAGCAAGTCTAAAGCACCATGGATGTGACTAAACATAAAAATATTCTAATTTTTATCAGTTTTAATAGCGGATTGATCAAAACTTGGCATAGAATCAACTTTCACCCTTTATTGTCTAAAACATTAGCACTAGTCGGTGAAACAATTTCTGTATTTTTAAGTCCTTGGGACATCCGACTTTCAAATTCAAATCAGTAGCAATAGATTTTTAACAAAATGTTATCGAATCCTAGTACCTGTTTACCATGTTATTGAAGCAAATTCCAGACTAGAATAAAGTTCTTGTGTTATCTAAAAATAATAATAATATCAGTCATTTTAAGAAAAGATAAACAGCATCTATCGTACTGCACATGAAAGTCAAGCTACTGCCCATTTAACTAAAACATCAGACAGACATCTAATAAACACATTTTTGTGCAACTTCATGTAATTCTGTTTTTTCTTGGCATATTCGAATCATGACTGGGAAAAGTAATGCTTGTCAAATTCAAACTTCAAAGAAAACTGCATCCCCCCCTATCTATCCGCAGCTACATTTACCCTTGTCAACACTGTGTCTCAAACGAAGTTTGACAAAAATGTCGACTTCAAAAGAGAATGGGAGAAGTTAGAGAATGTCCCTACAAAGACAGAGCTTGTTTTAAAAATACTTTCCTCACCAGGTATCTAAGTCTACATCAGCATCTCCCCTCTATTCAACAGATCAAGGACTGTTGAAATCTTTGGTTCAATAAATTGCTTAAAAATAATGCATTCTATTCATTTTAGTTCTAAACTCAAAGTGTGCCGTTGTATAGTCTAATCTGGGTTTCTAGCGTCTGTATATAAATATACACGTGTATGCCAGTAGCCCTCACTATCTGCCAAGTTTCCTATAACTGATAAACACTACGTCTAATACTGTTTCCTTTCAACCAAATATAATAACATTTTGTAAGGCAAAAAAATTATAATAAAGAAAATAAATAAAAGGAGAAATAAGAAAAAATAAAGGAAAAAAGAGTACATAGATAGAAGCTGATGCAACTTCTAAAAAAATGGCCAAATCCTGTCCACTCTACGATAATACTGCATCTAAGACTAAAACTGTACAAGTTGATGACAGTTTCACAACCATTCCCCCCAAAAACTAGAAACATATACAATAACAGCACAATTAGAATTAAACAAAATTTATGTTTATTACAATGCAGGTAAATTGCCATTAAATCTTAACTGACATCACCTTTGAAAATGCTGATTTAACATGAAGAATGGGACAACAAGACGTGAGAGAAAAAATAATGGAAAAGTGCACTAGTATGTGACCACTAGTATGTGACCACTCAAATGACCACTCAAATGACCACTCATGTGACCACTCATGTGACCACCCATGTGACCTGAAAAAAGCAACCAAAAGTCAAACCCTCTGCCCCCGAGTTTCAGATTTCTAAAGGGTGAGACAGACATGCCCCGCTGAAGATGTAAGTCTGAAACATGTTTCTGAAACCCAGGGTGCTCTTATTTCCCCGCAGACAACAGGGGTTTTGGACAGTCTTGCCATGAAGAAAATTAGTTAGAAACTTAAAAATAATAATTCAGTGACAGCCTTATATGGAAATAATAAATCAATGACAGCATAAATGGACATTAAAGACAAATAAATCCAAAACCAATGCAATACATCTTTTAAAAACAAGCATTTTTTTCCCTCTATCTTGAAAGACCCCTCCCGAAATATCACTCCAAACTGTAATTGGATTTTTGTACGCTCATATTATTGTCTTGAATGTGAATAAAACCATCTTTTAATTTTTATTGCATGCCATTCTATATATTTTTCCACAAAAAATGGCTCAACCATGGTTTAAGGCCCTGTGGGTTGAAACAGACAACATCACAGGCCTATGATGGCTGCCAGAGAGATCTCATTTTCCTTTCTCACTGAGAAAAAGAGTAATACTCTGTTCTGATCTGTCACCGAAGTTTTCCTCCTCCTCTCCAGTGCTTGCGTTCATACTGAATGAGATTGTCACTTATGTACACTTGTACCTCTCTATTTACATGTAAAAACTAGAGACATTGGGAGACTGACAGAGTCTCACTGAATGACTACTTGTGCCATAGAATTGCTTTACAGGAATGGAGCCAAAAAATGCCCGGAGGTTCCACACAATAAATATGCATTTAATGCTAGGCACAAAAAAACATATATCATCACTGTAATCCTATTACTTTTCTAATCATTATTGTGTTAGTTTATATTGTCATTGTATAAGTCCTGGCCCTGGCATCATCTGTTACCGCTGAAGTTCAATGCTGTGCTTGACGATTTTGTGGCAGCAGGCTGCAACTTCAGGCAATGTCTGGTGAGCTACAGCTCAGAGCATAAATTGTTAACTACCGCTTAACCTCTGTGAATTAATTGTATTTATGTATATACACATAGGCCTATGTGTGATTTTCTGCTGTAAGCAACATAGTTTTGCCAACTGTTTCATTTGTGGAAGTGTTACAAACTTTAACAGGAATGACCAAGCTGGTGCCAGGTGCCTCCCCTACAGCTCATCGTTTCTATGGAAACTTTGACATGCGTTCTGTTATAGTTTAAAGCAGCAAAAAGGTATCTAAAGGCATCAGCAGCATGTCTGAAATTGTGTAAAAATGTGGCGACACCCAAGTTCCTTCAAAGGTTGGCAGGAAAGCTTCAAATAGGAAAGTTTCAGTGAACATATTGCATAAGATGATGCCACTATAAACATGTCAGGTCGGCCCCCCTCTTTTTTTACTTCATGAGAAAGAGTTATTGTTTATACGTATAAATGGATCTAAAAGTATTGCTGCAAGCAAAGAGCAATTAAGACCTTGTGATTGGAAGTAAGTTCCAGCACCTTATCACAACACTAGTATACACAAGTAAAAAAAATCTTGCACCTATATAAAATGACATGGTTCTGCTGGAGTCAATAATGCTTGTTTTTTCTTTTTATCTTATATTTTTAAGTGATCTACAAATATTCAGCATCAGAAAAATAAATGTCTCCTCCCTATTAGGTATTTTGTATATATATTTTTTTCTGTAAAGTTCATCTCCCTCTTCCTCGTCTTCTTTTCTTCTCCTTCTTCATCAAAATAATAATAATTACAAAACTTTGTTCATTGTCTGTATATGGTTCACTGTTGACTAGGGAAAATGATTTGAGCACTATATCTCTCTCTTCTTGTCCACCCTCACTCCTGCTAATGGACTAACAGAACAATGCAGCATGACCCCCATGCTTCCTGGATAAATCCCTTTGGATGAAATTAAAATGAGCCCTGTTTGCAAAAAAAAAACTTGAAAACAGTCTCCTTCAACAGTCCAAGTGATTCCTCACAATCTTCATTTTAACTTAAACTTTCTTTTATTGCTGATATGGGGTTCACAACTTATCCTGCATGGATATCTTGTATATGTGCCATACTCTCTAAACCTCCATGAAGTTGTGGATTTTGGGGGTCCAACATCGATGGGGGTCCAAGATGGCCGCCATGCCCCATCATCATGTGATGCGGGTGGCCTGGAATGAGCATGGCTTGCGAGTGGACAGGAGGACGCAATTGGGACATGTTGCTATAGGAACTGCTGGCAGGGGGCATACCATACATATCCCCTGGCATAGCTTGGAGACCTGGAAAGATTGAAAAATATGTTGTCAAGTTTTTCCACAAAAGTTAAAGCATAATAATCAAAATCATACAGAAAAAATAGCAAATGTTGTGCCTCTCTTTTATTACCCAAAAAAATTTTTATTCAAATTATTTCTTGAGGAAAATGTAATTTTTTATGAAAAATACATTTGCCAAAAATGTGTATACATACTGTCTGCAATAACAAATTGCTTTAGTCACACTCTTAACAGAAATTCCTTCAATACAAGATATTAGTATCAATATATAAACACCACAAGATTCCACGTCTTGAATTTCTTTTGATGAAATAATACAAAATAAAACAGTTTGTAAATTATCAATTTACTATTTACATATTTTTTCAGTAAGTTGTAAAATTAAGTCATTATAAACAAAAAAATGTACATCTTTTTAAATATTATCTTTTTAAGCTACCCAATAAGAGGAATAATTAAATCACAAATTAGATGAAGAGCTTCAGTAAGTAAGTGATCACAATTTTATGAACTTGTTTAATAAAATAAATTTTATAACCAAATGACACATATCCCATGTGGGTATCATCTATCCAAATCACACCCCAACTCCTCCTCTCTTATCATACTAATTAACTTGAGCAGTTAACCTATGTATAAGTCTATATCATTTTAACTGGCGGACTCCAGTAATTATGGGGAAAGCCTATCATAATGGGCAACCAAGGAGACGTCAGGTCTTTATTTCAGATTAAGATCTCAGGTGAAAGGAAGTTGGAACAAAAGTCAGCTGATCTCCACAAAGGTAGTTATATCTGTCAGGATGTGCATTCACTGTATCTGATCTCAGGAAAATGACCTCAACAATTACGTGTACCGTTATTAAACTTAAAATAGACAGGAAATAACAGAGGAGAAATCTGCCTGGTTCCTGTCATTATCTTTAACTGTCACAAAGAGAACCCATTCTTTGAACTTTTTAAGTCATAAGTTAAAGAAATATATTAAAAGAAAAATACATTTGAAAAAAATCTAAACAAGAAATAATTATTGGTACACTCTTCTTTTTTAAAGTTGATATATATTTTTGGGGGAGTAAATTGTACCAGACAAACAAAAATGTCTTTGTCAAACAGTAAGAATATAGCAAAAGTTTTCCTTCTATGATATACTAGTTTTTTTTTAATTTATGAAGAAACAAAATAAATAAACAAAAGGTATTTTGAAGAATTGTTCACACAAAATCAAGCATTAATCTAAAAACAAAATAATTTTTTCTTGAAAGTTAATGTTCAATCACAGTGAACACAAGATTCGTAATGTTCCCAATGTTGCTCTTTCTTTTTTATGTGAGAACAAAACCCTCAAAGAATGCAACATCTCTGCTAGATTGCTTTATCACCAAGACCAAAGAGTTTTTAATAGCAGACTGTAACCTTCTCCCTGCAGGTGATAATAATTTCATTTAGAGACGTTTTTGTTTTCTCTTTCCCCCAGAGACCACCAGTACCCTTACAGCATTCAAGCAACAGTCCGATGCCAAGAAGGTGACATTTTCCGACTGATGACTGTCCACGTGAATGACAAACGTGATGGATGGGATCCTAACTGGAGGGCCAAAGTCGCCTATTACAGCAATTAACTCAGGGTCTGTGTGTTCAGTGTCAAAGCTATAAATAAGAACAGTAACATCACTTAACGAGATTAGCAGTGTCTGATAGATGATGAAGAGATAAAGGCAGATCATCGCAGGTGTGAATATTGTTGTTATTATTTCTATCTCTAGGTGGTCGGGTGGGATGACAAATTACTGCTCTCTTCTCTCTGTCGTATTATGAGAAATTTGCAACTTGAGTCTCCTGGTTACACTGTATCCATTTCTGATGTATTGTTGGAACTCAAGGGCCACCTACACTGATGCTGGGTGTTTAAAGTTTTACCTAAAGCAGCTTTATTTTTGTACAAAACAAATTGTTAATAAATAAATGCACTGCTATTCACATTATACTTCTTATCTGCACTGAAAATTTGCTCGTATCTAAATAATTGAACTTAATGTTTTTAAAACAATTTTTTCAAAGGCAGTTTTCTTGTATTTTTTTTTAATGTCTATCTTCTTCAAACAACTTTTTCCCCTCTACACGATTCAAAAGTCCCCACATTATGCAAATCATTTCTGAACATATGTTATTAGTGAAGAAAATTGCTCTCCTTTTTAGAAAAAAAAAAAAAAACAGAATGGAAGAAAGAGATACTTCACTTCTTATTTGTGTATTTTTTCTCATGACCTCTTCCATTTGCAAGCAATTCAGTGCATGATAGAGCTCATCTTTCCCCCATGTTTTTGCCTAGGGGACTCCCCCCTCTGCTACTACAGCTGTCAGGATGATGTATGGGGCATTGTTTGGAGTTTTATTATTCTCCTGTAAAAAATATCTTTATTGTTTCTGTCTACCGATTACTCAACTGTCATAACTGTCCTGGATTATTAACAAAAATCCATAATTTTCTTCACAGCGTTAAGTTTCTTTTCACCTGCAGCAGAACAAATTCAGCTAGCAAACTGGCGGATTGAAATGTGACAGGATTGGTCTACCCATCGGACATAGCCACCTATTGATTATTGTCATAATTTATAAGTAAGTCAGTGTAACTGGTATAAATCCTGTCAGATTGCCCACCGTCTAAACCAGCCAGCGTGATCCAGTGAACTATTACACATAACCAAACACATAAGCAAGTAATGATACTCATGATTATGATTTGAATTTATGTCTCTCCGTACACGCCTGCCTGCAAATCATGCTGACGTGACAATTTTGATAGGGAATTAACTCTTGGCCCTGGAGCACTGAAATGGACCCAACCTGTCAAAACTGCAGCCGTCCCCGGCTGAGATGGTCTTAAGAAGAAGACAGCATAAGTCACATCCTTAGGTTCATCACAGATAAATACACTGTAATCTGACATAAAGTTGAATAGAAACATATGCTACATCTTGTTAACCTTTCAGTGAGAACAGCCCTCCCCACTGAGGCACAGTCAAACTTCGTTAGAATCAGAGGGGTTGGTTGTTTTTTACTTTCACCACTGAACCGAGAGGTTACGAAGTTTAAGAACTTTGTAGAGTCGCACTAAATACAAAGGGATGTATTTAAAAAATCCCGCAGTCTTCAAAAACCCACACTAAGGTAGTTCAATTCTCATCATATTAAATCTAACTGATTTTAAGTGGGCCTCTAACTGACCTTTCCGGTAAGATTTTTATCAAAATCTATCCTAAACTACACTAAAGCTGTTTACTAATGTACCAACTAAGCAACAAGGGCAAGACCTCCTTAGTGGACATAAAATAATTTTTAAAAGTTTGGTCCGATATTTCACTTACACTAAGGTATATTCTTAGAATAATATTTTTTAGAATAAGTTAAAAATTTTAGTCATGCCATATTTATGCCTTCTGTGTATAGAGCAACAAATGGAATTGCGCAACAGATTTTTTACTAATTGAAAAAAATTGCAAAGTCAATTATATCACAGCTCTGTTAAGAACCCATCATAAAATAAAGATGTTAAATATCAAAAAATTTGCAAAGTCAATTATATCACAGCTCTGTTAAGAAACCATCATAAAATAAAGATGTTTTAATAGCAACAAAAAGGTACAACTGAACAACCCCTGTTGATGAGGAAAATGTGCATCTTATTAGCAGTATAAAAAAAACAGCATATCAATAATAATTTTATAATTAATATGACAATACAGATAACAAGCTTTTGTTTCTATGTATGAAATATTTAACGATCTATGTAATATCTCTACTTAAAAAAAGAATATTGTTTAAAACAGGAGAAAAAAAACTAATGCGTTTTCATACTGAATGGGCTTAATTGATAACTAGAGTCCAAAGTTCCATGTCTTATTAATTAGGCTAATATATAGAAAACAGAACATCTGCACCTTCAGTAACAACATCAAGCTGGAACTGAAGCTGTCTGATCATCCTTTAGAGACAAAACACATTCTAGTGTGATGTATCTAACATTTGCATGTTATTACTCATACAATATGTTTATTTGAAACGCAACTCAGAATCTCTTTTTTCCTGTAATCAGGCTCATAGCGTTCTGCAGTTACACAATTTTTGTTCTTTTTCGTGTTTTCCCAGATGCCATATCAACCATATATCACACGTTGTCCATTTATTCTACAGTGTCATATACCATCATTTATGATCTGTTATTTCTGAAAAGCTGCATTTGTGACAGGGGTAGATGAAGCAATGGATGACAACAGATAAACATAATCACTCTTTAGAATAAGCAGTAAGTAGGCTAGGCAGACTGGTTTAGGTCTGAACAGCTTGCTATGGAATAAATATGTTGTGGAATGAAAGTCTTTGACAGAAGTATGAAATCTATAATATTGAAGTGTAATCTTTAACTTAAATCCTCATTGTTTCTAATTGTTCAAGCTTTCGTCACAAATATTCAAGATTTTATCAAATATTCTATTCACTGTTTATGACGAATACATTCCTGAGCCCTGTTTGATGAACATGACCTATAGTATACAAAATATCCACATATGTGAAATAATTTTAATAACCTAATGTCAGAGGTCTCTTTGTAATCAATATCAAATACAGAAAATGTACAAAACTCACAACCTTATTAACAAAGTATTACAACTACACATTACAAAGTTTTTCTCTGTAATACTATGTCTTAATGAATCTTTAATACAGAAAACCATGAAGTATGGTACCAATGTGCAGCCAGCAAAGTGAACATGCTTTCTCTCTTAGGCATTAGTTGGACTTTCATTGGAAATGATAGCTCTGGCCATGGTTAATTTGCTATTAAGCTGTGTTACAGATTTTTCCTCTTTAGTTATTACCTGTGTGTATATGTCTGGGAGTTGGCGATGTTTGATATCTCACCAGAGTTTAAAAAAGTACAACACAATTACTAAACTAGAGACTAGCAATCTACATTAGATTAGTTATTCATATCATCTTTGAATTGAGAAGAATGTTTTAGGATCTAGTAAGTTGGTACTTTTCTTACAAAGCACATTGAAATGAAATTCAAAGTGATTTCCAAAATATTTTTATTAATATTTACTTATCATTATTTCTCCACTGTCATTATGATCTGACTTCTTCATTTTTTATTATAAGTGGTTTGTCTAGAAATGATACATAACTTGAAAGCTTAGTGTTGGGATGGATTTAGCAATAATTTGCAAGTAGTTAAAATTGCTTTCTTTGAAAGAAAATTATATTTCATGTTAAAATCCTACACATTTCAGGCTTCAGATAACCTCACAAAATTCACAATTAACAAGATGTGAAAAATTCAGTTATGTTAGTTTTATAAAATTCATATTCATGAATTTTGTATTTATGACTGAATTTTGAGAGTTAGTAAGTTATACGTTTTGAAATACAGAAATTCCTTGGATGATAATAATAATAATAATAATAATAATAATAATAATAATAATATTCTTACCTGGTGGTCTCATGTGCATTTGCTGATTCTCCATGGGATATCCCATGCCAGCACCATCTGGACTATAACCACTGGGGCCTGGAAAGTGAAAGTGAAACTCAAACGAAAAGTTCAACTTGCACAAACTATGCTGAGAGAAGACAGCAGAGGGACCAGATTTACTAATGAGCTGTACTAATTCTAGGCATTGCATTTCTTTCTTTAACAAATCCTTTTTAAAGGAAGGTATATTGGTATATTCAGTAGCTTGTTTTAAATTTCAGATTTCAAGTTTATAAAATTAACTTTTGATGTTTTTAAACACAGCAACACTTGAATTGTCTGATTTTGACTTTCTCCGATAACTCCTTGCAGATACACAAATTTTGATTAGGCTCTGATTTTCAACAATTACATCAATTTTTTTTTACATGATCATACTGTCTATCATTGTACAGTGTTACAAATGGATCATACTTTTTTTTTTGGTCTTGCGTCAAAATTTAACAAACAAATGAGAACTTGAAATAGTCAATTTTAAAATAATCATTCATCTGTTTATTTTATTATTTTTGTCTTACTGAAAGACTTTTGAAAGTAACATGACAGCACAAAAGTTTCAAAATTCAGGAAGTCACAGGTTGCAAAAAGTAAACACTTCTCTCTGCCTTACTTCATTTCAAAAACATATTCAGAGTGCAAAGTGTGCAAAAGAGATTAAGTTTGCAGAAATATCACTCAACATAAGTACTCAGAAGACAGAAAAATAACAAATATCCTGTCTATTTCTTAATGTGCCTGTGCTAACTTGCAAAATCAGGTGCCACTATTCCTCATGCTTTCCAATAAAGATGCAGCTGATGATCTACACTATAGGTGTCACTAGTGTGCACTCCAGGAGAGATATGTGTGTGGGGGTGCTATGTATGTCTGCATGGCTGTAGCTGTCATTCCTTAGAACATACTCACGGTATACAGGTGTTCAAATCACAGGAGGCAAGGAAGCATGCAGATGGGGAACACAAGTCAGAGAAAGGAAAAGGTTGTCGGTCAATTTTCTCAAATCCTTTTTTCTTTTTTTCACCCCCCCCCCCCAAAAAAAAAGTCCCATTTTGCATCAAGAAACTCACTGTGCCAGCTGCCAGGCAATACTATTAATTCTCTGATACATATTTTACAAAAATTTTCAGAAAGGGTTGAAAAACACTTATCCTTGATAACAAATTCTGAAAATATTAGGTCAAATGACTTTACAATGTAATGTTGATAATCATGAAAATTTTGCAAACTTCCTTAAATGTAGATCTCGGTAGTCAATTTTAATTTTCCACATTTCATCCAAATTTGAGTTTCTTCATAACACAGTGACCAGGATATAGGGATTAGATCACACATGCGAGAAAAAGATATTGGAAAGTGTCAGCCATTGTCATGGCAGAAGGAGCGGCCATAATGGTCTCCATCATCTAGGTGGGCCGGAATGATACGACAGATCTTCACCAGGTATAACATTCTTCTTGTTGCCAGACAACCATTCACGGGGCCAAGTTGCTATGGCAACCATTCCCAAACAAGTTTTACCTGGTGAAGGACCAGGGGATATACTGGATGAGGATTTACGCCTCCGTGATTTGAACACCGTAACCACAGGAGACTTGCCTGCACGATTTGATTGGTCAATCATAGGTTGCACTATCCTTCGCCTGGCGTTGATAAACCTGAAGTAAGACAAAACCAAGTCAGGCTTTATTAAAAAAGGATTGATAAGTAAAATATAAAGATATAACTAACCAACTATATAAACCTTGCTAGTGTCTATTATCTTACCACTGTTACTGCTTGACAAGACAAATTAATTAGTTGATATATATTTTAACATAATAAAAAAAGTTAAGTGTCTCCACCTGGTCTCATTGCTTAAATAACAAATGAAAAAATATCTTATAGAATACGAATCATGTATACTGTATGCTCTGCAAGTATAAAATCCTTTTTAAAAAGGTTTAAAGAAAAAAAATAACAGTATTGTTTCAACATTTTATTCAAAACAATGCAATTGACATTCATTAAGTTCATAATAAATGTCAAGCTGTCACCTCTATGGAGGTGACAAATAACTCCCCAGCAAGCTCAATTGAGCAGAAAAAGCCAGTGGAGAGCATGTAAAACTAAATATTCCACCCAGCAGTGCCTGTAGTAAGAGGGTAGTAATGATGATGGATAAGATAGGGAGGCAAGAGTAAGAATCATTAAACCTGCTTACTTAAAGGGCAAAACAAATGATGCATTTCCATAACAATCTGCAGTATGAATAGATCAGCTACATTAGTAGCAGCTTGACGACTATCATTAGGGACCATTAGTGATTTTGCACAATTTGGAGGATCAATATAGATGCGTCCTCGTTACCGCGGGAAGGCCCTTCATAACTGATGCTGAAATCTATCAGTAAAATGATCGGCCGCGCCAGGGGAGTGTAAATGTATGTGTGTGTGTACTTAAAATAACCAACTAGGAATACATCAGTAATAGCACCTATCTGTTGATGTAATATGTAAAGGATGGGGAATGTACATGCCCTCATATTCTTTCACTTATTTCTGCTCTTATAGAATAATATCTTCAGTGATTAAAAAGTTTATCTTTAAAGTAAGTCAGCATGGAATTTTGCGATCACTTTTATGTACAAAAAACCTGATTAGTTCCTGGAAATTGTGTGATAAAGTGAACCGTTTCCAGCCCAGGTGATGTCTATGTGTGTACATCACACAACAAAGTTCCTTAAACAGATACAAAAATCAATCAGTGAAAAGATCAGAAGGCGTCAGGTGTGGGCGTAAAAATTAATGTGTTTGTGTCTGTATTTGTAAACATGCCTTCATGTAGTTTATAGTCTCTAGTCACTGTACCTCTATGAGTATGTATACAAGCAGGCAAGCTGTGCACCTGTGCCTATACATGTTATCTATCGCAGCAGGAGAATCATAATGATTTTTGCACAGATATGCATGCCTATATATAGATCTAGATGTGTCCAGGTGCACGTAAATAAGCTCAGATTATGAAACCACCATTACACAAAACAACAAACATGTCCAAGGGCTGGGGATTTATTGTTCTTGACAAGTATATCAGGATTTAGCCACACCCCTTTTTAGATCAAAAAGATCACCAGGTTTAAAATTGAACAGAGACTAGTATTTTTAAAGAAAATTGTGTTAACTTCAAACATTTTTGTACACAAAGTATGAACA